TGTATGCTGTCAACCAAAAAACTATAAAATTAAAAATGATAATTATAAAAARACATTTTTCTCTCAAACTAGGTTTTTTAGAGACTTCAATTATGTTTAAAATAAATAAAAACAAACCACCAAACGTTCATTGTTAATAATTTTTKTGAAAATTARTGTTTACATTTAAAAAATAAATCAATTTGTATAAGACAGTATTTATGATGGAAATATTATAAATCATAATAAGCGATTATAAAACTTCACAGTATGAATTGAAAACCATATAATTAGTGTGCGACACCGCAAGTTTTTTTAAATTAAACAATCAATAATGAAAAATATTAGTAAAAAAGTGATTATTATTTTATAACATATTTTTTTTTTTACTTTCCCGTTTGGCCCATATTTTTATACTTATATAAAAGGTATTATCGACGTTTTATCCTACATACAAATATATATTTTATTATAAAAATCGAGTAATTGTTTTTTATCGCGTGTCTAGATTACTGCGCTGTTTTTCATCATAATAATTGATATTTTATTTATATAATTGAGAGTTTCACAGGCACGTGCGTAATTATTATGCATTACAATATTATATACAATACCCTATTACAAAAAGGTACATTAATAAATTATATGCATATTATGTATATTATATTTTTATGTAATAACGTTTCGAAAAAAATTCGACCGGCTTAGTAAGATTACTTCATGTCTGCAATATCGCTCATTAATCATAAAATATTATATTACTGTCTATTGCAGATGATATGTTTTAACATTGGGTTACATATACCTACCTACCTAGCTATATATTATAATATTCATCCCGACACTCGACGGTGTGAAATTTAAAATATTTTTCGTCCATTTCTTAATACCTAAATACATACATTAAATTGGTACCTACTAAACTCGATCTTATAAAAACCTATAATGGAATGGTTTATTTTTTCTTTGGCAACATAATATAGCCGTCGAATACTTGTACGAACGAACGTTGGTTGGTTCGACATGCATATATTATTATTATTAGTGTCGTAAAACTTCTTATCTTCTTCTCGTACGTTCATCGTCATGACGTAACAGAACGAAAATATTCCCAAACTATTCCACGATAGAGTTTTGCAACGCTACCACCGCAGCCACCGCGGCTGCAGATGCAACGAAATCCCGATGCCGTGTATCACATTCTCACACAGGTAATTAATAATATTATTTATTGATTTCTACCAAATGAGCACAGACCTGCAGACGGTGTTATGTCATGTAAAGTGTTGTAGGTACAAGATTTAGCTGATCAGTCTGATGATGTGTGTGTGTTTTTTTTTTTTGAAATGGAACATTATTCGCGTGTCGTCGTGTACTGAAGACATCGCAGTACGTATATATAACGTATCAAATAGTCACCACATCTAGGTCATTGTTTTGGGTGGACAAATTGGTCGAGTGTGTCTTTGTATATTGAAATCGTTAGTTGTCTCATACTATAATGATGTATATTTTTAGTATTAATCACTACTGCCGATTTCATCAGAACTCAGAAGTGAGTTTTCAATTTCACAAAAACATTAAAAAAACAGTCCTTTTTACAGAGAGAAACTCTTGGTGATATGAGAGCTTATACTTTATAGTTTTCAACCGATTAAAAACATTTAACTAATTTTATAACTGATTTGCTCACCAGTATATTAACCGTTATTTTATATGACGTTGTACTTTACGATGGAGTATAATGACGGAATGTAGAAAATCATTCATCACGTTTGAGCCTAGTGCATTTATTAACCATTGGTATTTCTATAAGCTTGAAATCATAAAATTTTGTTTTACCCTTTTTTAACTATAATAATATAAGAAATTCGCAGAATTTTCGTATAAATGAACGTGGATTAAAATTTAAGGTATATGCAGATATATTTCCATAGGTAATAAATTATTTTAAACTTTTTTTTTTAAAATTACGTGTAAGTCTTATTATCTTAAGTTTTTGATAATCGCATGGTGGACCAATGGGGGGGGGGCGTTGTTAAACCAGGTAAAAAAATGACAGATATCAGCTCTGTGTTTTTAACCATATTTCATTGAATGATGATTTTGAGAATTCATATACTATTTGGTGCCAATGGTGCCATTAATTAACATAATATTATGTGGACATTTAATAAAATATATATACATTTGGCAAGCTTAGATTTTTCATAATATTATTATATTTAAACCTCGACAAACCCACTCATCCTCCTCTTCCTCATAAACAAAAATATATATAAATATTTAACATTACGATTTGATCTTGCCCTGTATTCCCCTCCCCCCTTTAAATCACTAAACACGCTGTATTGAATCGTCAGTGAAACATTATTTGTGAGTGTGATAACACGCATGATTATATACGAGTCGGTTAAACTCACCTTGTTGGTTTTGGGTTGCAAGAACGTCGCTATTCCGGCCCTGACGCGGTTCTTGACGCCCCTGATGGTGCCCTTGGCGCTTCGTATCGTGTCCGAAGTGGCTACCGTCTTGCACCCCGCGAACGTGTCGTCCGATGGTGCGGCGGCTGTGGCCACGGCGGCGGCGTCCACCTCGTCGAACACGTTCTCGTTCATGTGAAAGCTGTAATACTGGTCCGTGTTGTCCATGTCGATAACGCGGTCGGTTGCGGCCACCGTGGCCACGGTCTTGTCGTTGTAGCACCGCTGTTGAACGCGGATGCCCTGCGGCGCCRAACGTTTCGGCAGCTCTTCGACAACTGTCGCGACAGTGGCCGTGGCCACGATCCCGGTTGTCGTACAGGCCTGCAGCGCTGATGCCAGCGGTTCGACGGCCGCCGGATCTGACGCGACCGAATCGACGGCATTGGCGCTAGCCACGGCGACTGTCGTGACCACCCGTTCCCGCGCTGGTTCGACGGCCATCACAGCCGTCTCGGGATCCGCCGTGCTGCTCGTCAGCGAATCGCAACTGCACGTCCCGTCGTCGCTCTCGTCCCGGCGGCTGCCCGTGTCCAGGTCACTGCCCGTGCCGCTGTCCAGCGGTGATCGGTGTCCCGAGGACGAGCGCCTGTCCTCGTCCTCGTCCTCGTCATCGTCGTCGTCCACGTCGGTGTAGTGCCGGCGGAACACGAACGGGTCCACGCAAGTGATGTTTATCTTTACGGTACTAGACCGGCGGCCCACCACGTGCTCACGGCGCGTCCCGTCGTCCCGTTCGGCGCGGTCACCGGCCACGCCACCACCACCGATCCCGTCCACCATCATCGGGTCTATTCGGATTTTCACCACATGACCGTTGGACTGCAGGATGGTCGCGCCGCTGCCACAGTTGCCTTCGACGGCACTGTTTTTTAGACAGCCGCGACGTGTCTTGGGCGGCAGCGGCGGCGGGATTTTCTTCTCTGCAACGGTTTCCAACATGGCTCCCGCAAAACCTGAAACGAGCAAATTYCCACACGATGAGCTTTACAGTATTATTATTTATTATAAACAACCAGTGACGTGTACAGATATTTTCAGTGGTAAAGGATGTATTAATMGATTATATGTTTAAGTATTAAGTATATCAAAATATTTTTTAGATGTTTTTAATTTTTAAACATCTATACCAGCGCCATTTAATCTTTCGAGTAAATCGTGGATTTTCTTTCCACGCATAACTTGAATATTGAAAATCATCAACGGACATGTAATAAATAAGTAGCAAAACTTTGCAGTTGGAAAGTAATATCACAGAATAACACTTATTATTATTTTTTTTATTCTGAGATGGTAATAATAATAATAACATGTTGAACTTTATGATAAATACATTTTAACAATACCGCAGCATCGAATAAGATCATCGCCTCTTCTGCGTCTACAAAGAATAATTTATAAGTACTTTAAGAGTTATGAATAAGTCATAAAACGGTCGTTTAGGTTTTAACAGTATATGTGATTCAGCCGGTTCACCGGCGCAAAAGACAAACTATACTCGTTTATTTATATAATKAAAATATATATCGTTACGACGCGGTGGCGGCGTCTTCTTAACTCCATTCAGTGAACTCGTATACTTAACAGCTGTAATACTGGAATGGTATTCGTATAAATATATTTATATATATAATATTATATGTGTGCCTATCGTAATGTGATAATGCCTTAAACATGATAATATTATTTTACTTAAGAGGACGCTACACATTCGTTTGTTCTCTCCGTTTACATACGTATGGCATGGACAAATTTCGTTCACTTTATTTTCAATATAGTACAAAGTTGAAGGAATCTTTTCACGTAAAAMATCGCGATTTTCAAAGAGCTGAAAACACTCATAAGCGTAAGCCGGCCCCTCGCCTGCGTGTGCTGCGATGTTATATCACAGAATAATATAAGAAATGTATATTTATTTAATATATATTTCATGTATTCTGTGGTTATATACGCAAATCATATTGTCACCTCAGCACATTTTGCTTCATTGGCCTGAC